CGTACGTACGTACGTACGTACGTACGTACGTACGTACGTACGTACGTACGTTACGTACGTTCTTACTTCTTACTTCTTACTTACTTACTTACTTACTTACTTACTACTACTACTACTACTCTCTCTCTCTCTCTCTCTCTCTCTCTCTCTCTCTCTCTCTCTCTCTCTCTCTCTCTCTCTGTTATTATTTCATTCATACACAAGAGTGTGTTATGATGTGTACGAGAGGAGAGTACCTGGATAGGAAGAGCATCCATGTCAGCTCTAAGCGCTAAAATGGGGCGCCCCCCTGACCCAATAGTTGCAACTATCCCTGTCTTAGCATAAGGCCATGAATATTCGATTCCCATTTCATCAAGCTCTTCTCTGATAAATTTACTGGTTTTGTACTCATTGAAAGCAAGCTCAGGGTTCATATGTATATGTCTCCTAACCCTCTTAATCCATTCAAACAACTCGTCTTCTCTAGCCCAATTCAGGAATCCCTGGTAATCAATGGCTGCTTCATTAGAAACTGAAAGGTGGGGAGTTGCAGAGCATAATGGGTAGGAAGAAGAGAGAAGGAAACAGAGAAACAAGAACAGGGGTGGGTTTAGGAACTCCATTGACCAATTGAACACTCTCTCTCTCTGTTGTGTTCAGTCTCTCTCAGACATCACGCATCAACCATGTATGTTTCTCTCCATTAATTTTCTCAGAATTGTTTTTTTTTTTTTAAAGATTTCAGCTCCATCTCCTTTTCCCTATCCTTTTTAGTTTGTCCTTTTGAACATGACACATTTCATTTATTTTTAAATCGTGTACAATTACGCCTGCAAATTGATGGAGCACCCCAGTGTTTTGCAAACTCAGGCCGGTCAAACTCGAATCAGGCACTCGCTGAATCGGTTTTTGGCCGGATTTGGTGGTTCGGCAAGATACTTTCAAAAAGAAAATTAAAAATATATATATAAAAATGTCAAAAAATATGAAAATGGTTCGTAAGGTGTTTTTTAATATATTTTTTATCATTTTGGCAAAGAGTGGAATGGGTTTTGTATGTGTTTTGTTTAATCATGTTTTAAATATGTTTTTTATATTTTTGTATTTTTTTATTTTTAAATAATTTTTGGACCGACCTGGACATGTCCAATTATGCCGGTTGAACTTACCGGTTTAGTGGTTACCGGCCTTGGCTAGTTTCTAAGATAGGTTTAATTTTTTAACAATGGCACCTCTTTTTTTTTTTTTCCTAAGGAGAGGTTTTTAGGAGTTGGCCAACTCATCTAATCCATTTTAATGCCGGCTTGATAATGGGAAGGTACACTTGAAAATTGAAAGTTCTTCTTCGTCGGGAAGAAAGAGGATCTCATAAAGAAGTTCTAAGTCTATGTGTTTGATAACTTGCTCAAATGTTAAAGAAGTTCTAGGTACTTGTGTCGACAACCTATTCGAATATATAGTTATATTTAATTAAAAGAAAAAGTTTATATAAGGTTGCAACCTTATAATGTAGAACTACGGATGCACCTCAAAAATCCATCAGAAAAAGTAGTTTTAATGTTGAAAAACCCTTTGATTGATCATCTCAACATCAAGATGTATGACCATGACATTTAAAAAGATTTTAAGTCTCAGAAATAGTGCATTTTACAACATATTATCTACACCGTCCATTTTCAAGATTTTCATATGTTTATAGATCTACTTGATTTTAACCATTTTTTAAATTTAAAATTTTATAATTACATAGAAAAATAGATTTTGAGATAATCCTAATAACATTTTACATCAAAATTATATACCATGATAAAATTTGAAGGCGCACCTTACCTCTACAGTTACGGATGCATCCGTATGCCAAGTGCACCCTTAAGTAAATACTATTTAAATGTAATTAAAATATTATTATTATATGCTAAAATGTATTAATGTAATACAAATATATATTAATAATTTAAATATAAATATATAAGGGGAAAAGCTTATATAGAGCCTAGGCTCTAAAAAATCAAATTAGAGCCCACATAAAAATTTTCACTAGAAGAGGTTGTTTTGATACCCAAATATCATCAAATTGATCATCTCGACATCAAGATACATGGACATGGACATGAGAAAAAAATGGATTTCAAGTTTTGGAATAGTGCATCATGTAATGCATTGTTGGACTGTCATTTTTCAAGATTTTCATGTTTTCATAGACCTACTTGATCTACACTATTTTTGAAGATTTAAATTTTATAACTAAAGATGAAAATATAATTTGAGGCTATCACAAAACTTTCCAGGATTAAAATCATATTTCTGGACACTATTTGAAGGTGGGCTCTAATTTGAGTGTTTAGAGCCTCGGCTCTATACAAACCGCACCCACATTTAATATATATAAAACATAATATTATATATGGGATGTGGTTTCCATAAGGTTGCAACCTTAAACAATCTAATTAAGGTGCACCTCCAAATTTTATCATAACATGTAATTTTTGTATAAAACACGTCTTTGGATTATCTGAAAATCTATTTTCATATCTAATTATAGAATTTTAAACCCTACAAATGGTTAAAATCGAGTAAATCTATAAACATATGTAAATCATGAAAATGGACGGTCTAGATAATGTGTTGCAAGATGCACTATTTTTGAGACTTAAAAACTTTTTCTGTTTTTTCATAGATAGACATCTCGGTGTCGAGACGATCAATTAGAGGGTTTTCAATATTAAAAGTGTAAGGACCACGATTTCCTGGCCACAGAAGCACATACGACGGTAGGAGTTTGATAGGAACGAAGCGCGCGCGGCAGTAAAAGGGGAAGCTTACCGCTGTGCGTGTCAAGGGAGTATCGATGTCCACGAAAGGTATCGCTGCGTGTGAAGAGAGAGAATACCAGCGTTGCTCGTGAAGAGGTGAATGGTCAGCACCGTTTGGGGCATTTCGTCTGTGAAGAGAGGGGCATCACCGTGTGTGAAGAGAGAAAAGAAGCAACGCGCGAGCGTAACGCTGCACGTGAAAGGGGGAGAAAGAGGCAGCTCCGTGAGTGTATAAGAAGAAGAAGAAGAAGAAGAATTTTCACAAGCGACAGTAAGATGGAGCAAAATGGACTAGCGTCGTGCGTGTCACTACCACTTGCCAGATGCATGTTGCCACATACGCCACTTATCCTTGTGCATGTGTGGTGCTTGCCACTTATCCAGCCTTGGACTGCCACCCAGCCAACAAGGTATTAAGCTCTCTTCTCCCTCACACCATTTATTTTCACTCTCTCTCTCTCTTTAAGAGCCAACAGTTAGAGCCATTAGAAGCTCACTGCTATCTCACTGTTTGAGCCTTGTAAGAAGCTTGAGGAGGATTGTAACAGAGAAATTGAACGCATCATTGTTGATTGACTAAGTGGATCTACCACTCCTTCATCAAGTTTATGGAAGCATGAAATTAAATCCCTACAAGCATGAAATATGTGATAAAGAATAAATGTGTATAACGATTTTATGTACATGTCTACTTAACTAATGCCTCTGTTGTATGGTTAGTTTTGATGTTAAGAATGCGTTATTGCTCACAAAAATCTATAAAAACATGCATATGTATGTCTAAATCAAATAGAGTATGTTTTCTCCTAAACTACTACTATTTGAAAGATCTCTGAGTATGCTTGAAATCACATGTTGAATACATTTCAAAACTCCTCCTAGATTGAAAGATATGTCATTCGTTGTGAAGGTATGTCACTGTGAATAGATTTTACTAAAGCTCAAAGCCATCACTTTGGTTGTCAAGAACTTTTGAGTAACTAAATGAAATCCAAATGATTTCAAACTGCCCTTGTTGGAAAGATATGCATTTATACTCGAATTTTGGTTTTGGAACCACTTTGAAATGCCTTATGATTTGAAAGTTACAACTGCGTTAAGTGAGACATGTCACTATCTCAGGTGCATAGCAGGAAAAGGATGGTGAACCCATATTGCAGTACACTTTTGAAGGGCCAAACGGGTCCAATTGCTTTCAAACCACCCCCATTTGAAAGATGTGTGTGTCTAGTGTAAAACTAGTTTGAGAACCATCTCCGAATTCTAAACAAATTGAAAGTTATGACTCTATTTATGATCGGACGTCACTGTTTGAAATTGCAGGAAATGTGTGTTGTGATACTGATACTGTCATTCTGTGATACTGATACTGTCATTTTGTGATACTGATAAACCAACTTGCATACTGACCACTATGCAATGGGTCACCCATTGGTAGTGGATACTGTTATACTGGACTATGAAACTGATACTGACTCTGACCACTATGTAATGGGTCACCTATTGGTAGTGGGTAATGTGTTACTGTTTTATACTGTGCGATACTGTGCCACTAACCACCACGCAATGGGACACCCATTGGTGGTTGGATACTACTTTGCCAGCAACTTATTAACTGTATCTCGACCCCAATGATAAGAATGGGGTCGGGAAGTGAAACTAGATAATAGGATGCGTTGCTCCCCTCTCCCCCCCTTAAAATGTTATCGGCACTACGCATTGGGACACCCAATGGTAGTGTAACGCATTGGGACACATCGAATATCCCCAAAGCGCGCTGGGGACGTGTGTGGGTGTAAGGACATTACGATGTGGGACACCCACTTGTCGTTGTCCTCCCTCCTTAACAAGGGTAGAGGTTCCATGCTACAAGATTGGCCTGACCTGATCGATGTAACTTCTATTTCAGAAGTGGCCTTCTCTAGTTCTCACTACGTGAAACTGTGAACTGTTAATCTTATTGTCTGCTTAAAATGAAATGATTTATGATTTAAGCATTGCATGTTCTTGATTATTGAACTGTGTTTATCTTTATACAGTGAGAGTATTAAAGAGCATAATAAGAGGAACTTTCTTGATATCTCAATAAATTAGTGAGCATTGTTAACTGCTATCACCTTTTATAGAGTTGAAATACAAGGGTGTAGATCTGCTTACTGGGCTGTTAGCTCATTCCATTTTTATTCCCATGATTGTAGAGTGATAGTCTTAATCTGAAGGACGGACAGCGGGCTTGCGTGCTAAACGTGTGAAGCTTGGAGTCTTGGAGAAAGGATCCTACAAAAGTTTTTCATAGTAGGTGTTTAGTGGCTATGCCGCTGAGATGTTTTTGTAGCTCTGTTTTGTGGGCCAGTAGTGCCTTAAACTGATTGTAAAGAATTTTGATGAATGAATGTATAAATAGATATGGCTTTGCTTTAGGTTAATTTTTGTCCAATGAAATGAATTTTAGTTTTATTTTCGTGGTTTGTTTTGAGTCCACACTTCTAACACGCGTTGAGTCACTCCCATCTGAGTGACGTTCGCAACCTCTGGTCGCGATCTCATACTTTGTCGCCCTCCGATAGGGTACGGTAGGGGCCATGGGAGGGGTCGTGATAGTTATGGTATCAAAGCAGACAGGATAGGATTCTTGGCTTAGAAAGTTTTAAAAGTGTCTTTTTAGGATAGTTCTTAAATACGCTTGTGACTAGGTGCTTGTGTTTTAGGTTGAAGATGCGGAGGACTCGTGCCAACAATGCGAGTTCAAGCAACGAGAACACCGAGGCCTTCGGTGAATTCTTTAGAACTCTAGGGGCATGACACAAATGAAATGGGAATCGATGCCTACCCCATCTACCCCTACCACTAACCAGAGTGATAGTGGCTTGATAGAGAGGTTTAGGAGACTGGCACCTCCGACCTTTGTGGGACAAGGGGGAGTAGAAAAAGTAGAGAGATGGAGAAGACATGTGGAGAAGATCTTTGAAGTCTTAAATTGTAAAGATGAACAGAAAGTGAGACTGGACACTTTCATGCTTGAAGGAGAAGCTGAGCACTGGTGGAGCTCAGTAAAGCAGTCTTGGGAGAGATCAGGAACTGTAGATTTTCTGGAGGCTTTTTACGAAAAGTAT